TGCAGAGCTCGTGGAGCTTCTTGACCACCATTGGCCAAGAAACAAAATATGACATTCTCGTCAGCAAAGCGCTTCAATTTTTGACTTCAGTTGCGGGTATGCCGGAACATGCATCGGTCTTCCAGGCAGAAGAGACCCTTGCCCAAATCGTCGAGAAAGTGGTCCTACCGAACGTGAGTCTACGTGAGTCAGATGAGGAGCTTTTCGAAGATGAGCCTATTGAATTTATCCGGCGGGATCTTGAAGGGTCGGATAGTGAAACAAGACGACGGGCTGCCACAGACTTCTTGAGACGGCTGGCAGAGCAATTCGAGGGGCCAGTTACTAAGGTCGTTCTCAGATACAGCGACCACTATCTAGCTGAATACGCGAAGAGCCCTGCCACGAATTGGAAGGCCAAGGACACTGCAGTTTATCTGTTCTCTGCAATTGCGGCCAAGGGAGTTCCCACAGCAAGCCACGGTGTCACTGCGACCAACCCCCTTGTCAGCATCACCGAATTCTTCCAAAAGAACCTTGCTGCGGACCTGGTTGTCGATCAAAGTGCCCACCCCATCCTCAAGGTCGATGCAATCAAGTACATTTACCTCTTCCGCAGTATCATCACGAAAGACCAGTGGCAAGAAATTCTTCCTTTGCTGGTCAAGCATCTAGGTTCTCCGAACTTTGTTGTCTATACTTATGCAGCTATCGCCGTCGAAAGAGTGCTTTACCTTGCAGACGGCCAAGGCCAACCGATTATTGCTCCCGCCACTGTCACTCCTCTAGCGAAAGATCTTTTGCAGCACATTTTCTCATTGATGCAGAAGGACCCTGCCCCTGAGAAGGTGCAGGAAAATGAGTTCTTGATGAGATGTGCCATGAGAGTCCTGATTGTTATCAAAGAAGACGTGGTTCCATATACAGACATTGTTCTTCAACATCTCATTAACATCACTGACGTTATCAGTAAAAATCCAAGCAACCCCCGCTTCTATTATTTCCACTTCGAAGCGATGGGTGCATTCATTAGGTATGGGCATCATTCTCCGCTCTTTTCTCGATTTAGAGAGCTGATAACCTCCAGATTCGCTGCACCGGCCAATTCCGAGAAGCTCGAACAAGCGCTCTACCCACCTTTCGCAAATATCCTTCAGGGTGATGTTCAAGGTATGGTACAATCAGAACGGGACAGGAGCTAGGGGACATGCTTGAGTGTTAACATGTGTGCAGAATTCATGCCATACGTCTTCCAGCTTTTTGCGGCTCTTTTGGAAGCCAACCCTTCGGGGTCCCTGCCCAACTACTACCAGAACCTGATCGCTCCCATCCTCATGCCTGTTATGTGGGAGTCGAAGGGCAACATTCCTGCCCTTGTCCGTCTACTGTCTTCTATTATCCCTCGTGGCTCTCAGTTCATCTTGGAAAGCCAGCAACTGGTTCCAATCCTTGGTATCTTTCAAAAATTGCTTTCCACCAAAGCCAATGAAGGCTTTGGATTTGACCTTTTGGAGAGTGTCGTCGCAAACTTCCCACCGTAAGTGGATAACGGGACGATCGATCTTGTCTGTTATATACTGACGCCTTCTTCTAGCACGGCATTGGAGCAGTATTTCGTCTCTATCATGCAGGTCATTCTCACTCGCCTTCAAAACTCCAAGACCGAGCATCTCACACTCAGATTTGTGCGCTTCTATCACTTCATCTCCGCTCATGACGACAAGGGCTATAGTGCAGATTACTTTATCCAGGTCACAGATAAAGTCCAAGCAGAGTATGTCTAAGATGATTTTGTGTATGGCGGATTTCTAACATATACTGACAAACAACAGCCTTTTCACCCCCATCTATCTCAACATCATTCTCCCTGAAACGCAGAAACTGGCACGTCCACTGGACCGCAAGACTGCCGTACTGTCTTTCACAAAGACCCTTGCAAACTCAGAAGCATTTGTAAATCGGTACAAGAAGGGATGGGGCTTCACATGTGAGGCTTTACTGAAATTGTTGGAGCTTCCCCCTCTTCCCGCCAGCAAGGATGACATCATTGCCGAACATGACGTTGAGGATATGGCTTTCGGAGTGGGGTTCACAGCGCTGAACACTGTGCGACCGCAGCCCAGGGACCCATGGCCGGAAACGGGCGCTGATCTTAAGGCTTGGGTTGGCAGATACTTGAAGGAGGCCGACAAGAAGCATAATGGACGGGTCTCTGCGTGCGTACAAGAGCGCCTGGGAGCCGAGGCGCGGACAGTGTTGAGCAGCTACATTGCATGAGCGGTAGCAGAAGATGTGCATGGTCTGCATTCGACGCCTGAGTTGACAAGCAAACCGAGTCGACAAGAAAAGTGACAACACATTCATGCCTTTTATGACAATTTTCCCAGATAATTTTTAGAGTTTCCAGCTTGTCTCATGTACTTGTGCATAGAGTACACAAAATCATCCTTGGGACTTACACAAGAGACGTTCAATTGATCCTTAAAAAGTCTGTTTTGCCCACAAGATGGGTGCAATATCTGACCGGCAGTAGCACAGTGAGACGAAGTGTAGACCGGCTATTTCGCAGCTAGACAGAGAACCCCGTAGTGATCCTTCGAGAGAAATACAGCAGACGACCGATCATCTGAGCTGCTTCTGTTCAGTGGTGTGGTTATCAGAAGTTTCCTTGGTGGTAGAATCTTCAGCATCCGGGCGATAGTCAGGCGCCACTCCTTGGCCTTCGCTACCGTCCCCTGCGTCATCTTCTAAGTCGACCTCGTCCCCATCCTCATGCTCGTTCTTTTGTGCCCCCTCCTCTAAATCCCGATACTTCCGCCGAGTCTTCTTCATCTTGCTCGCCTTCTTCTTGCGTGCGCGCTCCGCCCGAATCGCATTCCGACTCGCGTCGCCCTTTAGCAACTCCTCGACCTTATCAGCCAAGATCTGCCGAGCGATTTTCTCATTCTGGGACCTGGAGCGGGTGGCTTGGGATTTCACCACTATACCGGTGGGTTTGTGGATGAGCTGGACGGCGGAGTTGGTTTTGTTCTGTTGGGGTTATTAGCGAGCAGGCATCAGAGGAGGATTAAAGATGAAGGGTGGTGAATGTAGCGTACAATCTTCTGGCCCCCTGGGCCGGTGCCCTTGAGGTAGGATACCGTTAAGTCGGCATCGTCGATTTTGAGTCGGGGAGGGAGCTGTTTTGCGGACAGGGACGACGCAAGTGTGAAGGAGCGGCGGATTGAGGGTGGTGAGTGGATGGCGCCGGGTAGGAGGAAGGTCCTTAGGATGGATAGGCTTTGTTGGAGTGTTGTTGCTGTTGCGGGGTGTGGCATTGTTTCATTTTGTCCGTCTGTGAGGTTGGTGTGATAGGTAGGTTAGTTAGGTCGAGCGGGCGGTCGGTGCTGGATGATTCCAAGAAGCTACACATATCTCTAGGTCTATTGTTGCTATTGGACTACCTTGTGTCAATGGCGATATCTTGTTGTGAAAATATGACATAAACTCCTCCTTTCAGACTCTCTGTGCACTTTAGAGTAATAAACTCCTTTGCTCTCACTGCTTTGTAAGTAAATCTGGTAAGTTTAGCAGAGGACTACCTGATCGAAATAAAAGATTACTTGGCCGGGAGCCTCTTAAGGCTACGGTATAAGAATTGGAGCTGATTTTATATCATAGAATCACAATGACGGGACCCTTAGCAAAATACTAAATTATATTGGCCATGCGTTGACAACAACGGTCATCGTGACGCGGAATAGCTTCGTTGGAGATGCTACAGATGCCAAGCAGAGGCTGACGTACACTCTTACTTGGGTAGTCGGTCCTCCGTAGAGAGGTAGATAGTCAAATCCATAAAGTTTATTATCATGAAATCTCGGATCCTCATTGATAAATGCATGCCCCTGCATAAATAGTTATGTTGAGAAATCAGACATATCTGTCAATGACATGCGGGAATTTAGGTTATGTTCTAGACACATGTCGATATCCTATGTTAATTCAAATCAGTACAGATTAGTACATATGTAGTACTAAAAGGCCTGGGCGATTTGATTTCTATTCTTGTCTTCCAGTCAAAATGATAGCTAGTACGTAGTAACTAGAGTCCTGGACCCTGAAGTGGAACCAAGTGGGTTAGGTTTCTTCTGCGTAGTTATCGAGAGGTCTGACTTGGTTTGAGAAAACATCTTTTTTCTCGGATGGATATCCCGAATTACGGTATTATTATCCCAGATGTTCCTTTGAAATATCTAGATTGAATTGTACAATCGTACTTCGTAGTCGTACTCGTATGCCTCGGTCAAGTAAGGTTGGTGGTTCTTTTGTTCTGCATCAAACCTACCTCTCCACATGGTGATCTTCTCCCGGTCAACGATTGTCCCCGCACTTCATGTCTGCAAATTCCTCAACCTGTTGATCTACTCGATCAGCACTTGTTTACTACACCGAGAGGGTTGCTCACTATTCTCAAATCTTGACACCTGTCAGTTATCTTTATCCTCCAAATTCGAGCATCCTGACCGATTGATTGACTACATCAACATTTTAACTGAATCTCGCCACGTCAAAGTTAAATATCCCTCGAACCCCTGAGTGGGCGAAGTTGCCAACCCACCCTAGGTTTAAGAAACCTCACGGTACCGCTACTCTGGTAATTTCCGCTAATTGCTCCACAGTCAGACTGGCCAACCGCTGACTACTTTCCCAATCAGACCAGACCAGGAGATAATGGAAGCCTAGAGCAATATATTCTATTGAGAGCTTCTTCGACAAGCAATTCCGTTCTTTTGAAATATCTTACTTCTTACCCTCGAACGACCTCAAGCAATTATCGCCTTTTAACAGCACCAAGTCCTCCGATACAAAATCTCCCGCAGAAGTGTGACCACTAAGGGGTACAGACAGGGAAAGAAAAAAAAAGAAAAAAGAGACACCGTTCATTCATTATAAGGGGAAATATCAGCCTTCAGTTGTTGACCCAGTGGTCTGTCCGCATTCAATTGTTCAGAGTCAGTCAAGTCAAATCGATGTCAATCATGGCTCCTCTTCTCTGGATAACAACTGCCTTGGTTCGGTGGTTTCGCTTGAAGGTCTATCAATATGAGGTGACTTTCGCCATATATATGCTCACCCCTACCGAAAAATTCATCTTTAGTATGTTATTTCCCTTTGTCTTGGATGATTGGCCTTTGCTGGCTGTCTGTCTCTCCAATTGACTACAATGTTGAGGACGCCTCTGAAGCGCTTATGTCGTTTGCAATTGCTAAGTAACATTGTCTCCTGACAGACTCACTACTCCTTACCCTCATCACTATGATCATCACCGGCGTCTACGTCTACCTTCCCGACCATATCAGATCCATCTACGGCCATCTCTATTACTACTGGGCGGGTGAACGCCCGTTCATCTCTACGGGCCTACCTTCCATCAGCGCGGTATTCCGCGATAATAGCACCAAGACCCTGGAGATGGTATATGACACGGTCAAAGATGCCGCCGCAACAGCCACAGCTCCAATCGCTGAATTGTGACCACCTGTCCTTCTTGTACGACCCTGTTTACATACTACCGTTATCCTGGCCTCACGTCGATTCACATACGCTACTCAGTACCGTCTCCTCTTGCCCTCCTAGACGACGAGCGTGCCGCAGCTATCTATTCTTAGCATTCTCGTTATCGGTCTTTTGCATACAAAGGCGTTGTGAAGGGACTCTTCTTTTCCTATTATCCGTTCGAACAAATAGCCAGAAGCAGGTGGGCGCATACCGTAGGAGTTCTTTTTGCCCTTCTGTGTACCCTTCCAACTGTTATGTTTATTGAAAACCGGCCTTTTCTTGCCAGGCAGAATGACATGATACCCAATTGGCAAGATTTTTCGATTGCCTGTATATCTTTTGCCCAGTTTGGAGACGCTTGGTCTGTCAGCAGAGAAGACGAAGACGCTACGATTTGTCCGATCCAGTGCAATAAACGAAACGGCACTCTTGTATTGCAAACCATGTAGACTCAGCCAATTAACGAGATGAAACTTTATTGCATAGAAAACAAGACAAAACTCCTAATATGCCCAGAGAAGAGTATTATACAAAATGGCAATCATACATCGTACATGTGTCACTGCCACTCTGGCCATTTTGCCATGACACATGTCCGGCCATTCTGAACCCCGCAGAACGCCCTTATACCTTTTCTTCCCTTCCATTTTCCAGCTTAGTAGCCTCCAGCCTATAAGACCCAATGTCCTCGTCCGGATAATCGCATCCTAACACGCCCTGGCATATATCATCCCTTCAGACGAATTTCACTCCGCATTCTCAGCCCGAGCAGCTACTTGCGCCTGCGCCTGCGCCTCCATCGCCTCCCGTTGCAACCGTCGCTCACGCCGGACCGCTTCTACCGTCCTCATCCGTGCGAGCTCCCGGTCAATCTCTTCCTTCTCGAGTGGGATCTTGTGCGATTGCTCGGCGGTGGGCCAGAAACCCGGTACGCTGAATCGATCGTCGAGATTTGTGCCGAAGTAGTACATCCAGCCGATGGGGAAGATGACATACATGCCGAACTATGGAGGTGGGTTAGTGAGGTCCGGTTCAGTAGAGAGATAGAGAGGGGCGTTCTTGGCGGAAGTGAACGCGGGGGAGATAGGTATATACCTTGAAGACTTCGAGGTTGCCCCCTTGTAATCTGCGCAGGATGGCTGACATTGTGAGTTGATGTGATGGAATGGGGTTCTATCCGGAGATGCGGTGTTTGATAGAGGGAATGAATTTATGCTCTGCTTCTGGTATCGCAAGGCTGTCTTCTTCTGTGCTAATTGCTAATTCGACGAGCAGTGACACATGCGGCGTTCTTCTCATGCATTGGACTTGATATCAGAATCCGCGGACTTCCATCGGCCCACCAGTGTCACGGAGCTTTTGGTGAGAGATCAGCGGTTCCTGCAAACAGGACAAACACAGCCACGTGCCGGTCACCTGACCTGTATTGTATCTTCCCGCGAGCCTCGGCTGGCAGCTCGGACCGTCGGCCTCCCCGCAATAATGAGAGTTTGTTCGGTGCTTCTGCTCCATTGCTGTTGAGGAATGGGGACGTGAGAATAGCCTGGATCCTTAGGGAGCTAAGAATGTATTTATCTGGAGCGTCGCTGGCCGATCTCCTGTCTCTGCTTCTTGACACTAAGTATTTCCGTCGTCCACATATCTGGGGCTCTTAATTTAATACAGCCGGACCGCCTCGTTAAATCTTTACGTCGGCAACGCCCTTTATTCATATTTCAAAATGGCAGCCGAAGACCTTATCACTCTCACATACCTAGATCGTATTGCGATCATCACATTCAATCGCCCCGAGAAGCTGAACGCCCTCAATGCAGACCTCTACTATCTGCTTGGTGAGCGGTTACGGGAAATTGAGAAGCGAGATGATATCTTCATCACCATCCTGACGGGAACTGGTCGTTACTTCTCCGCGTAAGTATAATAACCTTTTTCTCAGCTCTTCCTCCACCACTAACTTTCCATTAGCGGAGCAGACGTGACCTCCACCCGGCCAGGCGGCGGCCTGAACAGCGACTCCCGGCGAGAGATTACCCGTACCTTCGTCGTCAACAACCTCGACCTCACCCGCACCGTCTACAACCACCCCAAGATTCTTGTCGCCGCACTCAATGGCCCAGCAGTTGGCCTCTCTGCAGCCCTCGTCGCCTTGGCCGACTTCGTCTACGCCGCCCCGCACACATTCCTCCTGACTCCATTCTCCTCCCTCGGTCTCGTCACCGAGGGCGGCGCCTCCCGCGCCTTCGTAGAGCGCTTGGGCATTGCCAAGGCCAACGAGGCGCTCATCATGAGCAAACGGATCACCTGCGAGGAGCTGGTGGCCACCGGTTTCGTGAACAAAGTCATCTCCGCTCCGTCCGGTAAATCCGATGACTCGGAGGGCTTCCTTAAGAAGGTCCTCGAGGAGGTCGACGAGCGTCTGGGTACGCATCTGAATCAGTCGAGTTTGCTCAAGATCAAAGAGCTCATTCGGCGTCCGGAGCGGGAGCTGCTCGATCGTCAGAATACGTATGAGGTTTTTGCCGGCATGGAGCGGTTCGTCAAGGGGTATCCGCAAGAAGAATTCCGCAAGTTGGCCTCGGGTGAGAAGAGGCATAAGCTGTAGATGCTGGGTTTTGCATTGTAGATATGGCGACAGCATAGATTCTTGGACAATGTGATTCATTGTCAAGAAATTGGGTTTGGACATTTAGCTGCGATGAAACCTACGCAATAGCGAAAATATGGAACATAGAGATCTTGCCATAAACCAGCAATTATTTCCTTAAAACTGAAACGCTATTTATACATGTAGCTTTTCCTGTTTTACCAGTTCCAAAACGCCGTCCCCGTGAACCAAGGAGCTCCTCTATCAAAAGCCATAGTAGCAAACAGTAAGTGGAGTGTAATTATCGTCCATCGTCACTGTCCGTATCCTCCTGCGTCTGCTTGGCTAGAATGTCCTGCCACTTACCCAAGAACTCACTCATACCACCTGGCCCAGAAAGAGACGCATCAACAACTTCTCTGGGCAATTTATGCGCGGAGTACTGAGGGGTACTGAAAGAATATGCCTCTGGGTCATCACGCTTCACGAGACGGAATTCGGGGAGGAACGGCGAGTCGTCTCCATCGTCCGCGCGTTCAAGCTCTTCTTCTTCTTCTGACTCGGAACTCTCATTTCCATTTACCTCCTCCACTATAGGGTTGGCTCCGTTGAGAGAGAGTCGAACAAAGCTTTCCTCGGGGCCGTCTGCGTCCTCTTCCTTTATTCCGATGGGATCCTTCATCTGCAGGATTTCCAGCCAACTGAACAAAAGCGGGTCTGTTCTATCAGCCCAGGGGTTGATGTCGATAAGCCACACGCGCTGGTGTGGCTCAGGGATATACACGTCAAAGACGAAGTTGGGGTCTGGAAATGTGTCCTTGAGCTTGTCGTCGAAGAAAGCCTGGATGCGTGATCGAAGGGTGTCCCGCAGCGAGAAGAGGAAGTCAAAATGATTCTGGTCGCGCTGGCACATGCACAAAAGCACGCGGTTACGTACAAAGCAACGGAATTCAAGAGAGGGATTGAAGTTAACGTATTTGCGGAGGACGAGGTGGTAAGGGATATCGGGTTGGGTAGCAGGCGTATCGGAAGAATCGCCTGTATCGGGCACGCAACCGTCAAATGGATGCTCCAAGTCGTGTGTGATGAAGTCGCTGCTCTTCAGGAGGAGGTATATATCATTTGGTGTTCGGCATTGAAGATCGTTCGTCGCCGACATCCACACAGCATCCTTTGGCGCACTCCAGTTCAGCTTTGGTGTTACTTTGCCGCCAAACTCTGAGATGGTTGACCTGATATGGGAGTGAATTTCTTGCCATTCAACGGATGGATCTGGCTCTTCGTCTGCACCGTCGTCGGAAAATGTGTCTAGTTCATCTTCGCCCTGTGGCGGGGTGGTCTCTGGTGGTAGAACGATTCCATCGGCGCGGAGGTAGGACACGAATGAAGGCGTCAAAGGTATAGCACGAGATTTTGGGGTGAGTGGGCGGTATCTAGTCCATGATGCTGTTAGTTAACTTCTTGAACTTTCAAACGCTTGAGGAGCATGAGGAGCATACCGAGGTTGCCAGTGATGATAAGAGCAATGAAGAATGTGAGAGTAAGTGACTGGGGGAAAGGGTAGCCTCTGCAGCTGCGCCGCTGAAGACTCAGCCGGAGCCTGTGTATCAGGATCTAGAAGCGGCATGGTCGTTGTTGATTCACAAAGCAAAAGTGTAGATAAAGAAAAATATGAGGGGCAAAGATTCTCGATTTATCGTATCTATGAGTATTTTAGTGACTCACCTTTATTGGAAGGCAGGTACCTAACTAGTTAACGTAATTCCCGGGCGAGCGAAACACCCGACCGAGCGGAACACCCCTCAACGAATTTCAATGCCTTTGCACCTTTGAAGCTATCAAAATCAACCAAAACAATATATTTTTACTAGATCTAGCTAGTATGGCGTGTAGGGCATCTAGTTCTAATATGCCCTACAATGAAGCAATTTGTACACCTTGGTGGCGCGCGTTTTGGTGGTTCTAAAGGTAGAGGTGTAGAATCAATGGATGCCCCCCCAATCTCATCTTGCTCATTTCTTGCCTGGATAAGATCCCTAGCTTCCCGGATGGAGAGTCCTTTATTAGGAGTCATCTGGCGTCTAGATTGCTTCCTTTTCTGCTTCTCTTTCTCATTGTCTGCGCGTAGATCATGGTTCTCCTTTGCTAGTAGGGCCGCACTGTGCATAGCCATCTCGCAACCTTTGATGAGCTGTTGTATAGCTAATTTTGAAGGCGTCAAAGGGCTTTGAGAGCGTTGTTTTAGGAGCTTCTTAACTGAGGATGCTTGCTTGCGTAATTGCCGAAGTGTATGAGGCGTAGCAAGCCAAGATGAGTTGGTTGATGCACGGCTTGGAGGGGGGGTAGGGGTTGAGATATGGATATTTAGCTTCTCAAGCACCCTCTCTGGCTTCAAAGGGTGGATTCCAGCTGCCGCGAAGCCATTTTGGATATTTAGAGGTGTAAATACCTCTAGATGAGCTGCTGGATATGCTTTAAGGAAGTCAAACTTATCAATATGGTTGTATCCTAAGCGCATCTTTTGCTCAACAAGGCCTCCGTAAGCACGCTTTAAAGGGCCAAAACAACCAACATCTAGTGGTTGCAAGAGATGAGAAGAATGAGCAGGCATGCAGATAGCAATAATATTATTATCCCTGCAGGCTTTGTCAAAGCCAGGCGTTAGATGGCTTCCGTGGCCGTCTAAGATGAGAAGACGATATCTTCCAACTGTACGGCTAGTTGTTGCAGGGATAAAGACCTTTTGAAGCCATCGAAGGCCTATCTCATCTGTTGTCCATCCATTTTGACTGACTTCGATTCTCCAATCAGGTGGTAAGGCCTGATCTTGATACCATCCCTCGATATGAACCTTCCCCTTGAAGATTATACAAGAAGGAAGCACCCAGCCTGTGGTATTAACACATTCAATTGTTGTAACCCATTCCCGATTGCCTGGCTGAATGAGATAAGGCTTTCCAGGCATATTAGCTCTTGTTACTACCTTAGTAGTCGCAATCAAGCCCATTGCGAAGCCCGTTTCATCAAAGTTGTAGATATCTTCGTAGGAGATGCCATATTGCATTTGGATCTGTTGTAGGCAGTCAAACCACCCTTTAATAATCTTTGGATCCTCGCATTGAGCTCGACTATAGTTATACCGTCGTGCATATCGTGTTTTAATCTCGTCACGTCGTTTAATGAAGGTAGATACCCAGTTCTTGCCGACAGGTTTGAATCCAGAGAGATCGTCTGCTTGGAGAAGGATATTGGCCATTTCCTGCACATGAGATGGCCTAGGGGGCACGCCGCGTAGATCCCTAGATAGTATCCATTCCACTAATGATTCTTCCTGTGTAGGAGATAGCCGGTAGCCATTGGCACGTTTTTCAATTCGATATTGGCGTCCATTCAATCGGCCGTAGAGGGTAGAAAGAGGAACATCAAATATATCTGCAGCGCGGCGAATGCTTGAAATTTCATTCTTTTTTATAGCAGATATTGCTAATTGAAGCCTTCCCTCTTGCTCCACCAATTTTTGAGAGATGCGACGCGGTTTTGATGGCATGGTAGTGGTGTAGATAGAATCAATATTCAAACGCGTTGAAATTCGATGAGGGGTGTTCCGCTCGGTCGGGTGTTTCGCTCGCCCGGGAATTACGTTACCAATTGTGGATTAGTCAATACGCTCTGTCACGTATTGTAAGATTGTAAGATTGATTACTGCTGGATGCTACGTGTGGTGCCTGAGGCACTACTGATGATCATTGCTTGCGGCACAGCTAAGCTGTCATCAGCCATTGTCTTTCCGTGTTGTTGGCCTTTTCTCGTTCAGCATCCTGTGCGCCCGTCAATATGGCGTCGGCCGGTCCGGATCCGCAAAGCCTCAAGTCATGGCAGGATGCCTTCCAGTACCCAATCCCCACCGTTCGCCATCTGGAACAGGAGCTACGTCGGGACATCGCGAGCAACAAGGAGAGGCTCCGGGCTCTCGTAGGGTAAGTGTTCAGCGAGACAATTGGATGGAATGATCGCTAATATTAAAATCGCACTCAGGACGAGGTATCGAGAGCTTGTTGGGACTGCCGAAACAATTGTCCTGATGAACCGAGAGATTCAGGAGGTGGATTCGACTTTGGCCGATATTGGACGACGATGCAACCCACGATTGATCGAGAGGATGCATGCGCACATGAATCAGATAAAGGATGATGCTCAGGATAAGGGTAAGAAGCTCGTACTCTCGGGCTTTGCAGTTCAGGGAATTGATTCGAGTACAGAAACAGAAAAACGAGCATTGGGGGCTCAGCTTTCACTTCTCCACCGCTGCGCACAGGCGATTGCATATCTTATGAGAAAGCGCGGATCTCCACTGCTGATGGCGAAACTACTGGTTGTTTCTCGACTTCTTCACAAAACCCTTTCAGAGCAGAAGACCATCCCACCATTTCTGGACAATTTGCGCAGCCAGTTAGCGTCCCTCCGACGGACACTCCTTAAGAGAATCGACAAGCGACTCGCGTCCGCAAAGTCCACCGTTGACGATATAATCGAGTCATTGGCCGCTTATTGCCTAGCGACGAGCACCTCATCAGATGATGCTATTCGCCATTTTCACCACGTTCGCCTGGATGTCATTGGAAACCTGCTGGGACTTACAGAGTCGTCAGGCGAGAATGTTCCGAACGCTCTACAGCTCTACATCCAAACTCTGCAAATGTCGAAGACTCTGCTTTCTCGTCGATTGTCAGATGTGCTCAATAAGCTGAAAGCAAGACCTATCTTGGCCGATCCTGACATCCTCAACCTTGATGAACTGAGTGTTGACGTGCTGGGACGTTGGGTAGCTGCAGACGTCAAGAATTTCACTCCCTGGATCAAACTAAGTGAGCTCTCGAAATCAGAAGCCGAAAAGACAATCAAACAGTGGTCAAGGCAAGCGTTCGACGCTTTCGTCAAAGGCTGCAGTCACACCTTGACAGACTGGTACAGTTTCTCTGATTTACTCTCTCTTCGTTGCAAAACTTTGGAGTTATGGCTTAGCTCCTGGGGCTCAACACCCACTCATTCGCCCTTGAACGTCCTAGAAGGCATTCGATCTGCTTTCAATGAGCGGCTCAGCCAAATATTATCAGATCAGGCCAAAGAGTTGGAGCAGTTCGGCCAAGCTGTCTCTTCCGTGGTCACGAATTGGGACACCAACGAACATGTTGAGACACTCTCCCTTTGGGATGACGAGCTAATCAACCTTGACTTCTCAGATGGTGCGGCCGCATTCAAACAAACAATCGCAGATAGATTGCTTGGCCGCGACGCAGACGTATCCGCAGTGTTAACAAAGTACGAGACCTGGCTTGCGGCCATTGGCAAGTCCAAGGAGCATATCAATGAGATGAAACGAGTGCGATGGCCCGACATCCTCGAGGAAGGAGAAGAGGAGGATGCAGACGTGGATACAACGGCCATATTAAACGACGACGACACTGCATTGCTAAAAGACGCGCTCCAGCAATCCGTTCGGGAGTCGTTCAACTACCTGCAGTCATCTTTCGCCGAGGTTCTCAATTCCTTTGGATCTTCTCATCGACACAAGAAAGCCGCCTTCCTGCTAAAACTCATTAGACTGGTTAGGAAGGACCTCCCCGGTGACTTCATTTCCAGCGATTTCGTCTTTTCAAAAGAGATCGTCCCTCAGCTGCAACAAATCCTTATCGCACAGGTGGTCACACTTACAGAGCCAATAAATATATGGCCCAAACGCGCGTTGCAAACAAATAAAATACTACCTGGTCGGAGCCTCTGGGAGGGTGACCCTGAGCTTCCGGTTCAGCCTTCACCGGCAATTTTCAAGTTCCTGCGACGTCTCGTAGACACGATGGATGGCTACGGCTTAGGGCTTTGGGACGTGTCTACTACTCAAGCGCTGAAAGGAGGATTGCGAAACGAGCTTGGAGCCACCGCCGCAGTTATTCTTAAGGCTTTGGAGTCGGTACATGATCAAGAGGAAAGCACAGCATCGAAAGAAGCTGAAACAGTCAAGAATGGAGATACTGATAAAATCCTGCGGTCGGAAGCCGACGTTGCAATCGGAGCGCAGAACACCGACGACTACAAGATTCAGCTGTATTTCGACCTAGTTTACTTGAGCAATGCTCTGGCGACCGCGGAGCCCTCTAAAGACTCTTTGTCTAACGCTGTCGAAAGCCTCTGCAGCAGTCTAGACTTGAATCCGAAGACGGTCAAAAGTATGGAGCAACGAGCTCGTGATTATTGGAAACGAACATATCTGTTGTTCGGGCTTCTGGCAGTGGGGCTAGAGCAATCATAAGATCATAACCGAACCAGACCAACATTCTGTATATATCATCTTGTTATGCACATACATAACCATGACCATAACCTTTTTCACAAGAACCGAGTTCGATGCATTCCTTAAGAACCACCACCAACTGGCAACGCCTAAGCCATCATTATTCCGCGGCTTCTTCACCGCCCACGTCACGTTCCGACCCGCAAGCAACTTCGCCGCGGGAAAGCTAAGAATGCCCTCTTGCCAACTTCCTACCTGTATACGCAACGTACTACGGCTTCAATACATGATTTCACGAATGATCTGGCGGTAGCACCGACTTCTTCATATGGCTTCCC